TCAGCACCTTGCGTCGGTTGCGGAACTGGCGCGCGCTGCGCTCCAGGCGGCTGCGCACCTCGGCCGCGTCCAGCGCGGGCAGCTCCTCCTCGGGTGCGCGGGCTTCGTCCGGCCCCGGCCCTGACAGCGCCCCGGGGGGCTCGGGGCTGGAAACCGACACGGCGCCCACCGCCGACACTGCCGCCGCCATCTTGGGAGCTTACCACCCCTTGCGACCATAGAGATGGGGCTGGCAGCAAGAGCAGCCCCAAGATGCCACCTCCCGATTGGGCCGGCGAGGCGCCGCGAGGCTACTAGCACCGGGGCCGCTCATTGGCCTAGGCCAAGTCCAACCCACAAGAATTCGGCCAGCCTATTGGCCAGGGAAAGCCTCTGCCGCCCGGAAGCATCGCACCTCCTGATTGGTTGGGCAAGGGTCAGCCTGGACTTCCAGCCCTTTGCCTTCCCCCCCTCCCCAGTATACTAAGCCTCCTGGGCCCTCCAATATCCCACAAACCCCTACATTAACTCTCCAGTCCCCCAGTATCCCACAATCCCCCTGCCCTTGGCTCATGCAATAGCCCACAATCCCCTTAATTGACTCTCCCAGTCCCCCAATATCCCGTAACCCCCTGCCCTTGTTGCCCCCATTCTCCTGCATTGATCCCCCTCCTCTGCTGCTCCCCCAAAGGACCGTCTCTCCTTTAACAACCCTCATCAGTGTGGAAGCCAGTCACCTAAGATGGCTCAGGAGACCATTAACTTTGAGGGAACTTTTTAAGTAGGCAGAGAAGTGAGCAGGAAGTATAAGGATAGTGGAAAAGTACTGTGAGGCACCAGCATTGAGAGTCTATTTCCTGGACGACCATATATGGTACCTTTGTTTGCGGGCAAAAAGTTGCTTACATTGTTGTATAAAAGCTGGAGCTTGGCCAGGCAGAGATGCTTCAGCTTCTCTCACTGCTAGCAGTTAATACACTGAGTGTTCAGAAGAAATTTCAGTTTGGCGTTTTTTACCACATCAGGCACCTCCACTTTTCTCCTGGGGCTTGAGTTGTTTGCAGGGTCCAGGCTACTGGGGAACTAAACAGGGCTGGGCCTGACAAGCACTGGAATGGGAATCCCTGAGAGGCTGGACAAGGACACTTGGCCATGATGGAAGCCAACCCAGGACATGGTTCCAAATCAGGCCTTGCTGCCCTTGCCAAGTAGGTCGCCCACCAGCCATGAGCGCAAGGTGCTGTCCTGGCTGGTACCATTGTTATTTTCATACCACGCACCTGGCTCTAAAAAGGTATAAAGGACAAGAGCTTACCTTTGAAAAAACTGCTGAGAATCGCTGCCTCATTTGAGGTGCACTTCAATTCTTGATCCTTAGCTGGTGGGTAAAAGCCGAGCATGGTCTGCTAATAAATAAAGTAGCACTTATGCTTCCCATCCAGAACTGGCCACAAGCGAACATAGCTGATCAGCTGTCCTAGCCACATGATTGAAATCCTGCAGCAAAGCAAAGCCTGCAGGCTGTAAGGCAGACTGCATGAATGTGAGGGAGCTCACAGCTGATCTCGCTCCGCGCTGCAAGTGCAGCAGCAACACAAGCACCCGACACCTTTGGCAAGAGCCAGCCTCCTACCTCTGCCCACTGACTTGCAGCCCATCCCCACACAGGACAGGAAGAGTCACCATCCTCGACAGAGTGATTTATTTGGAGACAATTGAGAGTGGCACCAGCAACAAGCTAGCTTCCTCAGAGAGCAGCTATGGCTGGGGCAGCACAAGCCACAGGTTCAGTCAGGTTGTCTCCCACGCCCTGATAGAAAACAAGTCTATGTACAACAGCTCAGGCAGGGCAGGGAGGGTGTGGTAAATGATGTGCCCCAGGCCCCCACAGGGGCAAGGGAGCCGTAGCCTCTGCCCAGTGACAGAATACAAGGCACGCAGCTGGGTTCTTTTTGCTCAAAAGGCTCAGGCACAGGCTGGGGAAGGTGGGCTTTGGTGGCTGGCAGCTCTGCTCTGTCCTACAGGCCATGGCACAGGTGAGGAGGATTCAATGACATTTGCAGGGCAGGCAACAATAAATACAGGGGAGCTGTACAGAGAGACTGTGGATTGGGGGGCAGTAGTGTAGGCTGGGAGCAGCTGGACACTGGCATGATCTCTCCCTCCTCCACAGGGCATTGTAGCCACCTGCCCTGTCCACAACTGGGAGCTGAATATGCATTTGAGGACAGAATTCCTCAGAGTCAGGCAAAAGCAAGCAGAAGGAAAGGAGGGTGGAAGGGATGATGTGTGGTGACTAGCTACAGAAGGGAGGCAACAGCTGCTCAGGGAAGGTTTCCACAACCTTTCCCCTTGCTGTGCTGTGCTCATGGCCCATGGTAGGCTCCCCCAGCTGCAATGGATGGGGACAAGGAACCCAGAGACTCACGTGACTAGAGTGCAGTTAGGGGCCACCCCCCCGGTAAAGTGCCATAAACATTACATTTGCCAGGGGCTGCTTTCCCCCACAGAAGGGGGTGGCTGCTGCCCTAGGAGTTCTGCATAATTGGGGACCAAGGCCCTGGCGAAAGCCCAGGCCAAGTGTGGGCAAGGGAGACACGAATGCTGAAGGCAACTGGCTTGGAGGTATGTGGAGCAAATGCCTCAGGACACCTTGGCTCACGGCCTCGCCCCAAAGGCCTGGTGTCATCACAGCACTGGGTGCCAGGCTTGGGGCCAGAAGAAGTTACTGGCCAGATTCACAGTAGGGGTGCGGCCCTGGCCAGGGGCCTCAGGGCTTTGGTCAGGCTGTGTACGAAGGCAGCAGGTGGGCAACAATGGGTGCTGCCGGGGCAGGCACAAAGGTGATGGGGGGAGAGGCTGAGGTGCAGGAGGGCACTCTGGAGACCAGCAGGGGCTGCATAGGGCTTGCCCATAAGGCCTTGAGCCCTAGCTCTCCTCCCCTTGTGCCAGGTGCTGCAGAGGGGTTCATGCTCCAGTGGCCTCAGCTGCCACTCTCCCATCCCACCAGGCAGAGGCAGTACAGCTTGGACCCCAGACAGGCAGAGGCTCTTCTCAAAGCCTGACAAGCTGCAGCAGCTGATGCGCACGGGGCTATGGCCACACCTCCAAAGCCATGGCCTGGGCTGAAGAGACCCGTGGGAGGGCAAAGAGCCACAACTGGCTGCATCCACAGCACTTTCCTACAGTCCTGGTTGGACTGCAGACCGGAGGCCTCATGTCATGTCTGCTCCCACAGGGCTGGTGGACAGAGGCTCTGTGCCAGGGGGGCCAAACTCCCCAGCCTCTGGCACGGTCCACAGGCAGCCTGCCTGACCCGGCAGCAGCCCTGTGCTTGAGGCAGCGTGCAGCTGGACTATGTGACAGTCATCCCCCAAACAAGTCTCAGGTATGCAGCTTAGCACAGGCTGAAGACGGAGGGGGCCTGAGCCTTGTACTTCTCATGGAAGGCCCTGAGCACAGGGACCAGGTTCTGGAAGGCTGGACGGAAGGAGGCTTCTGCCTCCCAGCAGTTCTTCATCAGGCGGTAGATCTGGGGGAAGGGAAGGGAAGGGAAGAAATGCATCAAAAGTCCCCAGACCATTTCCATGTGCACGTACACACTCTCTCCCTCTCCCCATCCTTCATGGCCCCAAGCAGCTGCCTGCCTTCCCTGATCCAAACCAGGTATGTACCAGGCTGCAGGGAAGCTTCTCCCCAGCCACGATGGACCCCATGCCTCTACCTCGCACTGGGAGCTCCCTGTGGCCATAGAAGCACCCATGGTCCTACCAGGTTCTGGGATGGGGAAGGAGGGGGGACATGGGGGACCTCACCTCACAGGGACAGTCCTTGGGGCTAGGCAGGCGCTTGCCGCGATCCAGCAGTTCGATGAGGCGCAGCACTGTCATCTGACCCTGCGTAGCCCCGATCATCTCAAGGAATTTCTAAGGGGGCAAGAAAAGGGCAGGCCATGAGTGAAGTTAGGTTGTGACAGAGGAACTGTTCCTCCCTCCACATGCCCTGTGCTGCTGAGAACTCACCGCTGGGGGGCTCTGGCTGGGGTCACAGCGTGTCAGGAGCTCGTAGAGTGTCACCCCAAAGGACCAGACGTCAGAGGCATAGTAGAACTTGCACTCCTTCAGGCACTCCACCGCGTACCTGCCAGGGGGGCCGGAAGGTGGGAATCATGCTGGAGCCACTGCTGCCTGACAATGCTGCCTGGAGCTGGAAGAGCCCTGGGGGGCTCAGTGCTGCCTGCAGTCATGGCAGTTCCTGTGCATGGCAACCAGTAGGGACCCTGAGCAGAGCAGGGCCCAAGAGGCAGGGACATGGGCTGCCTGCTTCCCTGAGCCACACCAGGTTGGAGGGGGCACACACTGGCTGCTCTGCACTGAGTTGAGGCCCCCTGCCCTTCCCTCCAATGGCCCCCATGCCCACTCACCAGAAGACAGGGCTGTCACCATCTTCACGGACCCGGTAATACTCGTGGCCCTCAGGCACAGCCTTGGCTAGTCCAAAGTCCCCAATCTTCACCACATTCTCGTTCTCCACCAGCACATTGCGGGCAGCCAGGTCCCGATGGATATAGTGCAGCGAGTGCAGGTATGCCATGCCCTGCATGGAGCACCAGCAGCCTCAGCTTCAGGACATGAGGGATCGCTCAGGAAAGAACCCAGGTGTCCTGATGCCCATCCTCTGACCATGGGACTCCATTGTCCTCCCAGAGCCAAGAGAACCCAAGGTGTCCCAAAATCTACTAGCCCTTCAACTTCACAGCTGGGGGGGAGAACCCAGGTTTCCTGATTCCCAACTCCTCCCACTATGACCCAGAGACCCTGCTCGCTTCCTCTACCGTAGCCCCTGGGAACCCAGCCCCAACTCTCCCCCCAGGGCCATCACCTCACAGATCTGCTGGGCGAAGAGGAGGATGCGGGCCAAGCCAACGTTGTGCTTGGGCAGGTAGTCCCGCAGACTGCCCAATGGTACATACTCCATAATAAGCTGCACAATCTTGTCCCCTGAAAGAGATACAGGAGGCACCTGAGGCCCCAGCCCAAACCCCAGCCCCGTCCTGCCTGAGACTGAGCCCCACACCGCAGCGCCACCACCTCCCACCCGCAGCCAGCCTCTGCATAGCCATTGGGGGCTCCTGCTGGCAGCCTGCCCCACACAGCCCTCCTGCCCCATGGTACCACATGCCCCTGCTCAGAGGCCACCTGGGCCTGTGCCTGTTGTTAGTGGTATGTCTGGAAGTCCTAAACAGGCACTGCACTTCCCTCTGGCAGGTGCTGAAGGGGCAAGAGGCTTGGGGGGTGGGGGCGGGCGCGCGGTATCTAAGGGAGCTGAGAAACCCAGGGCTGGGCAGTGCCCTCCTGTACCTGGTCTGGAGTTAAGGGCTAGGTCAGGCCAGGGCTGCATTGAGGTGGACGGTACCTTGCTCACTGCAACATCCCTTGTACTTGACGATGTTCTCATGATAGAGTGTCTTGAGGATCTCGATCTCCCTCTTCCAACTGGCCAGGAGCTGCTGGCTGCAGCCAGACTTGAGTGACTTCACAGCCACCATCTCACCAGTGCCATCATTGGTGGGGTCATAGCAGTACAGGCTGACCTTGCCAAAGTGGCCCTGGGGAGGGAAAAACACAGGTTCTGAGCTCCTGCCATAGGGCATGGTCTCCTCATGCAGCAGCCAGAGCCCACATGGGGACACACCCTGTGGTCCAGTACTCCAGGCTGGAGCAGCACTGAGACATGGGGCAGCTGCGATAACAAGTAACTGAGCACAAGTGCAAGGGCCCTGTCCCTGCCAAGCTCCCGACCAAACTGGCACCACCCCATGGCCCGACATCCGCATCCAACTCAAGGTCTGGCTTGTGTCCTGGGTACACAACAGCATTTCCACCCCCCCCCCCCCCCCCCATCCATGGGGCTCAGGGCAGTCACAGCCCCACTCACCTCCCCCAGCTCCCGGATCTTCTTCAGGTAGCGCTTCTGGAAAACCGTGGGGTCCGACACAAGGAACTCAGGGTTCACAGAACTGATGTCCAGGAGGTCTGCAAAACAGGGCATGGGCTCCAGGTGTCAGCTCAACATGCTCCAGACTCACCAGGAAGAAGTATGGGGTCTCAGCGCCCTGCACCCAGCTCCTCCCCTGGCCAGACAGACATGAAGTCCTGGGCACGGCTGCAGCAGGTGGCTGTTGGGGGAGTGGAGGGAATGGTAAAGCTCTTACTGTGTGGCTGCAGCTGGGTGAGGTCCCGCAAGATGGTGCGGAAGGAGGGGCGCTCGCCAGGGGCATAGTTCAGGCACTGGCTGATAAGTGTGGCCAGCTCCCGGCACGATGGTTCAGGCAGGTGGTGCCTCTTCTCATAGAAGCGCTCCTTCTGTAAGGCGACGTGCACCCTATCAGCCCCTTCAGGCTGGGCGGTGGCTCCATGTCCCCCAGCCCCACACACCCCTCCCCCACCTGGCTCCTTTCAGGCCCATGCAGCACCCTGCCCCCCGCATCTGTCCCGAAGCACCATCTGCAGTCCCCAGAGCAGTATGGGGCTGGAGGCTTTGCAGTGTGGTTCCACACACATGCCACTGGGGAAGATGGGACTCCACAGCTGAGTTGGACTCAGAGATGCTGAGCAGTGTGTCCAGCTGCCAGGGGCATCATGCCAGGGCCAGTGGGCAGGTGCCCCTAAGGCTGTTATCATGCAGGCCTTACCTCTGGCGGGGTGCGCTCCTTCAGGGGGACATCAGCATCAAAACAGATCTCCAGCAGGGTGGTGCCAAAGCTCCATTTGTCGGCCGCGGGGCTGAGGCTGCTCACATCCTGCACGCACTCAGGTGCGATCCACGGGATCCGGTCCACACGCTCTATAGAGAAGGGAGGAGCAAAGAGGATTATGTCTGGGGCTGAGCTGGTGGTGGTGGGGGAGGGGACAGCTACTACATCCAGGAAAGGAACCCCTCCTTCCACGAAGGACTGTGGGGGGCTGCAGGCATTTGTCTGTCCATACAGACATGCCAGGCCCTCAGGATCTGGGGCAGTTCAGGCTCTGCGCTCAGCTCAGCCCATAGCCTCATGCCTTCAACTCCTCCAGACAGATTCTCCATATAACCCACTTCCTGTCCTAGGTGCCATTTACAGCAGCTGCTTTCTTAGTCCTCAGAGGCAGCCGCCTGTCAAGTGGTGATGACACCTCCCCACGTCCCCAACCCTGCTCAGGGCCCCAGAAGTGGAAAGCCCTGGCTTCAGTTTGCTGGCGATTCCTGGAACTAAACTGATGCCTGTGACATCAGCCTCACTGGGGCTCAGGATGGAGCGAGGCTGGGGGCTCAGGGCTCCTCCTCAGCACAACTCAGCCCTATGCATGCGCCTTACCCTCATCTGTGGCAGGCTAGAAGACCCCGGGGAGTCAAGGAGTTGGGGGCAGCATGCGCCAGACCTCTGAACCAGTGAGCTCCAAGCTATGGCCCCAAGTGCCTGGAGAAGGGTGGTATTACCTTCTCGAGAGAGCACAGAGAAACTGATGCCTGGGTCACTGAGCTTGACAAAGGGCATGGCCCCATCCTCCAGCCCCCGCCGGGCCAGCAGGATGTTCTTGGCACATACATTCCCATGCACCAGGTTCTTGTCCTCCTGCCAACACACAAATGCGAAGTCAGCCATCCCTGGCCCCACACAAACCCCCAGGTCCTTCCTGCCCCACTCCGATGTGCAGGGGAACAGCTGCCCTGCCTCAGTTTTCCCACCTGAGCAGCAGCAAAGGAGCAAGGGGGACCTGAAAGGTGGGAGGACAGCTGCACTCCTCGTTCTCCCTGGGTCTGTCCATGGCGATCTGGGGACTGGAGACTGAGTGTGTGACCTGAGACGCTTCACCCCCAGGTGAAGGGGAGGGACCAAGGGACCAGTAGACAGGACTCTTTATGTTTGGACACCAGATGCTGGAGTTCCAGCAGAGCAAGCCCTGCCATCCACTGGCTGCTGGTACAGCCCTGGAATCCCACAGCCACCCTGGGGGATGCCTGGGGCCAGACGCAGCCCCTCACCAGGTAGCTGAGGGCACTGGCCAGCTGCTTGGCCACAGTGATCTTCCAGCTCACGGTTACCCGGCCCTTCTCTTTGCGCAGCAGGACATCCAGAGGGCCATGCTCCACAAACTCCTCCACCATGATATCTGGGGAGACAGGACAGGGGCTCCTTATTGACAGCCCAGGGCCCCAGACAGTATCACAACCCCAAGGGCTGGCAGCCTCATCATCTGGTGCCAAGGACAAGACAGACCTGGGGAGGGTAGAAGAGGGGGAGGGGAGGAAAAGGAAGGGCTCCCTGGCACACTGCAGCAAGGGCGGAAGAACAGGTGCCATCTCTGTGCATGTGTTGAGTCTGTGCATGCTGTGTTTCTGCATGCATTTCTGCATGCTTGTGCCATGTCTCTCTGTGAGCCACATCACATCGCTGCATGCTGTGCTGCATCTGAGTGCGCGTGCCACATCTCTGCACCTACATGTGCCATGTTCCTGTGTGTATGTCTGGATGCTTGGGCCGCATCTCTGAGTATGAGCCATGTCTCCACTTGCGCATAACACGGGTGGCACCACATGTCTGAAAAAGTGCTGTGTCTCCACGTCTGCATGCGCCACATCTCCATAAGCAATACCACACAGCCGGGGGGGGAGGGGGGGGGGGGGCCGCGGGCGGGGGGCTCCACACCGAA